GTCAAGCTAGGTGGTAGAGGGAGAGGTTGCCATGTTACAAGCTGACAATTCTACCAGATGAAGAACTTCCAGTGAAAAGAACTATTTCCTTTCTCGACAACGCTAGTCCAGGGCAAGAAGATGTGTTCTGCGTACCACGCCTTATATGACTGCGAAAATAAACAAAACAACAAACGAACTGCTTTTTTAGCTATGTGCTTTGTGGCTTATGCCAGGGCTCCCTATCTGTGACAGTAATTATCGTTACTGCGTCGAACCTCGCCTACATAGTCATTGCGCATTGTGTACTGTACTGTAATCTCACACCAAATAAAATGTTTTTAGCGGTTAGACTGTTGATCTCTGTTGCACATTAATGATTAGTGGCCACTTCCTTCCGTTAAGCGTATGCTGTGGCGCTGATCTCCGTTTCCATGCCATCAGCCAGGAGAGCTGTAAGTTAAAGGCGGGATCCACAGCTGTGCGCCAGGCATAGCGCGTAATCACCCATGTCCTTGCCACTGGGAAAGACTCATTTATCAACCTCGGGAGAAAAGTGAGTGGCCGAATCAGAGCTCGAATCTTTAATCTATCAATTACGAGTTCGACTCTGCCGACGAGGACCGCAGTTGGAGTAGATTAATTACTTCATTGCTAAGAGAGCAAACTTCTTTTCAGTGCTTGCCTCGAAATAGTTTTCCTCATCTCTTATCATTGATCAGCTGTGAAATCAGCTATGTACATCTGATTTGCAAGAAATTCATTTTTTTCTGTAATTGGTCGAACTTTTTCAGGTTGATGTAATTTAATTACGAAGCTAAATTCAATGTGAAACAAAATGTGCCAATCTTTCTCAAATAATTGGCAATTGACATGCAATCAAGCCGTTTCTCTCAGTGAGTCGAAGCTCGGACTTCGCTTTGCGAAGAGCGGACAACGATCTGATTAACGGGGTCCTACGTCTAAGCAACGCACGGCGAATGAATGTTCTGGAGCTCTCAATGCACCCACAATGGCCTGCTATGAATCTTGAAACGATATATTAACAGACCTTGTAAAGGGGGACTTACAAAAGACACTCTGCACAAGATAACATATGGCAACTCGATTCCAAACACAAACGAAAAGATTATGAATAACCGTCCATATTAGCTCCCAGAAATCGTAATAAATTGGGAAAAGTAAGAAAAACGCTGCCGATTCGTGGATAAATTACTTTCTGTCCTTCATCATTCATCACTCCTGCCATTCTTTCGTTCCATATTTTCTTCTGTATTTCGTTTATTCATTTATTAATTTGCTTAATCATTCATTTATTTTTCGAAACCGAGTTTACCTTTCGAACCTAGAGGATAGCTGAAACGAGAACAATAGACTTCCTCTTCGAGGAAAGCAAGAAGTACAAGATGAGGAATGTATGGTATTTGAGATATATTAGCTGAAGTGTGCGGTTAAACGTATACTTTCTGCACTGTTATTCTATTATGAAACTTATTGCTCATTGACGAAATCATACATTCGCATGGAAACAAGCACGAGAAAAGCAGACAGACTGACGTTGTGAGAGACGAAAATCAGAAGTAGCAATCTCAAGCGGTCATTAACCACTGGCGACTATGCAGGTTATCTGTCCAGTTCACCTTGCAAAAGGATTACGTCATGGAATCGTTTAACTAACAGAGAATCATCCTCGATCAGTCTTAGAGGGAAGGTTCAGGGACCTGATCTGTGGGCAATGATAAAATACGTTTTCCTGCATTTTTCTGTTTACGATATTTCATAAATCGAATGAGGTCCACCAATCTTTGACCATCTCTTGCCGATCCAGATTTATTAATCAACAAAGTGAGTATGTACATGAATGCAACCAGTTTCAGGTTTACAACATGGACTGCTCACTCAGCTAAAGGTACCAAATGGTATTTCCAGCAAATTTGGAGAGAATGTATACGATATCTTGCTGATAAGCGATTACCCAAGTGGCCTATTGACAGTTGATCAACGCGAACACAACGTACATGCCGGAATGGACTGAACAGAGACGGACAGCCGGACGGTACAATCAGTTAGTATGACGGCAATGGAGGTAACCCACTTCAGGTATTAGATCAGTCGTGGCTATTAATGGTGGTGTTGAGGCCACAGTGCGCTGCCGCACTGAACTGGTGCGAGAGAATATCGACCAGGTTTAGGAAGACGTGTGGCAACTTTGCAGATCTACTACAAACGCTTGATTTGTAGATGGTTTCTGAGATCTTCGGAGTCCCCTTACCTCACGAGAAAATGGTTCTTGATATCTTCCACACTTTAGGCATCTAGTTCTGCCTCATGCATTCCGTAAAATGCTTAGCAAGCGCATTAGATGGCACCAAGCTCCTCCTTTAAGGCGTTCTGTACTTATACATATATCGCCATTGCCTGGACATTTGTCATTTTTGCTTTTTCTAATTGTCCATTCAAGTTCGTATAGGAACTTTGGAAAAGTACAGATCGGTGCAGAACTTTCATGCAGATCGCGTCAATCCAATTACGACCAGGACGTCGCGTTCGCACTTACTCTTTCAGTGCACTCGGAATCTCCTGTTTTAGTCGAATATCTCGTTCCAATACTCTCAGGCGTTTCTTCCACTTCATAAATTCACTTAGTAGCACTTTGTTCAAACCTTCGTAATCTCCCCTCATCTTCTTCCGTATCTACTTGCGCAATGCAATGGACACATTGTCCACTTTCCCTTTGGTTTTTTGATCGTCTCTTCTAGCCATTCGTTGCCTTGTTCAAGGGCTGGTGTGTTGGTTATTAGTCGACTTTTCTGGTATGCATGATGTTCGAACTGCCTTCTTCATGGCGTTGACAAAATGTTTAATAACGTACCTACGTTCTCGATGCACCCATAATTAGGAAAAATAAGCGACGGGTATGAGGTATGGGAACAGTTTATTTGAAAGCGTCCATTTTCGAGGATTTCCTCTCAGTCTACTGTACCAAAATGTAATGAATCAATCAGCTTCGAAAAACACCTTCGGAGAAATGCCCTCGATGGACGGTAGTACAAATGAATCGGAAACGAGCAGCTGCTGGCCATAAACGGTGTGAAATAAGAATCATAACCAAGAGTTCAAAACAACCGTCCGGGCTTAATTTAGTAGAACGACCCAAAAATGAGGATTTAAAATGTCTTCCCTGTGATGTTACTACAGCTCTACCGCGCAACGGCGTGGGGAAGCACTTGGTGCAGCGTTGTGGAGAATAACCAGTTCACGTTTGAAAGCTTGTTGGTTGAATTGAATAACCAAAGAACTCCAACCATCGGCATTTGCACGGAAAAGAAGAAAATGAAACGGCATCCGTAATTCATCAGAGAAACACAGGTCCATTTGCATGAGCATCATAGTTCAAAAACATACAAAGTCACAAATTGAATAATTTTCCATCGACCACAGTAGGGTAAAGAAAAGGTTGCTCAGTTGATAGACCCAGAAACCTGGCCTTATGCCCGATCATATTACTCAAAAGCCTGTCATATGACTACCACTTTGGGAAGGAAACCAGGAGACTGCGTGCTAGAGTCGCATCAAGCAGTAGATATCCACTGCTTCCCAAAGGTGAATGGTCTTGAATAAGTTTCCATTCTCTCTCCGGACGGCTAAAACCACAACAAACGCCGGGCCCTGACTTCCCCCGACAGCATTCTCAGGCCGATCGTCTTCAAAACCTTCACATACTTAATTCGAGGGGGTCATTCTGACGCTCTTCTTTCGATATTTGTTTAAGTTTGAGTTGAAACCAACCATGAGGCAAACACAGTGTGGAGTATCCTATCCTTTCCACAGAGTGGTCCTGATTTACCAACCTCAGAAGGAAGATGAGGTGTTGTGACCGGAGTTGGGACCTAAAACCTCTCGGTTCTATCAACTGAGCAGCCCTAGTCTCAACAACCTGTGGTCAGTTCCTTGCTCGAGGGAAATATCAGTTATGAAAAAGATTATCTTCAGGCGTAATGAAACCCGGTACCTCAGGAATTCGAAGCCGACCTCTTACGCACTGTGCCACAACACCACATTAAATGAAAGGGCCACAAATATTGCCCAATCGTTAAAGTATACCGCAAAGACTGCTAAGGTATTGCTATAAGCTGAATCTCTATGGTGAGGGATGCGCGCGTTCAGGCAGGATTGGTGAATTTTGGTACAGCATCTTCATGGTATAAATAATAGTGACTCGAACTGGGTCCGATTGCATTGAGGAACAGAAAATATAAACCCTGGCCACAGCAGTGGACTTGCTCAACCTTAATGCGGACTATCATTTTTTAAGGTCGACACCATGAAACTTTGCTAACCTGCTTTTCAGGCACCGTTCCCCTTAAACGATGATGACGTTGTTGCTGATCTGAGACAGGTCTTGGAAACACCTTTAAGCCAGGATCGAGTGGAATGGAGTTTGCACTAAAGTGGGAGGAGGAGGTAGTTTCTGAATATTTATGATCGAATGTATTCTTCACAGTCGTTGAGTAATAGCCGAATACGAATTAGACTAATCGTGTTTATACGAATGGCATTTCCCATGGATAATTTATGAGAGCGAAGTGTCACTAGCAGCAACTTATTTTGCATTCTGTAACTGCATTAATTTTAAGGAATCAGTCAGTTGGTGTCGCACGGTATTTTTCTACTGATCATATCTTCAAATCTTACCGTCTCGTACGTGTCTCAAAAATGTAATTTTTAAAG